GACCTGCGTGTACTATTGACACACACTGATAGTGAGAGTGAAATAAGGTTACACACACACACACACAAACAGGACGCGTGGCCTCCTGCTGTCAGCGTGTTGACATCACAGGCTGTCAGCAGGAACATTACCCAGGAGGCCGCTCGCTCCGCTGGGCCCCACTGATGGATTACCGCCATAAGCAGCCAGCTGGGAGCCCCAGCAGCTCCACTATATCAAGATTTTACCTAGTAGATGAGGTGATTTACTCCTGAAAGCCATCAATCATACGCACACAGCTAGTAGGCAACATGCACCTAATTTCCCATCTTCTCACAGTCAAGAGGACGGGGGGGAAAAAAAATATGACATCTTGTGGCATTTAACTCTTCCTTAACAAACAAGCTTCTCCCAGAGTGGACTGAAGTTCTCGGCTGGACTCACGCCGGACCGGCGACATGACAGGCCCTGTCCCCTGACATCAGCTGAGCTATGAGCCCCCGTAATGAGGAGCCAAATAGGACAAAATGGCCTCTAAATAAAACATGGGGGAGAAAATAGAAAGCAGAGTCAGGTGTCCTTGGGAGAGTGACAGCTCTCCTGGTCTCCCTCCCTCTCCTCCTCCTGCCTCCTCCTCCCTCCTCCTCGCCTTTTTTGCATCCCCTCGCGGAAGCCTAAATGACTTTTCCCGACACGCATTGAGCGTTCCCGAGCTTTCTGCGCTCCGCCGCCCGGAACAAGCAGGCATCAGTAAACAATGAAATCTGTGGGCTGAAATTGAATTTATAACCACATTACCTGCACAGATAACGTCTCCGAATGGCGCCGCGATAAGAGCAATGGGATTTGATTTTCAGGTGTTTTATTGGTCCACTTTTTGGATAAGCCTCTCCACACCCCCACCCTCCACCCTCCAGCCTCCAGCCTCCAGCCTCCACCTCCAGCCTTCACCTCTGCTCCACACAGACAGCACATTTAATGGCGTGGGAGGCGGCAGGTCGGGACGTATAGATAGAAGAGTGCTGCTGGATGCTCCTTCGCCCCTCGTAAGTGACAGTTGTTGGTTCATGAGCACCTTTTTTACGCGTCTCCATCCCCCCCTGCNAAGGTCAGAAGACTAAAGATGTTCTAAAAACGATGACGTAAATAAACTGTTGCTCCCTAAAATCCTCAAAGCTCAATGTTATACTGACACAAACATTCTTCTTTAGTAGAACAATGTTGTGTTCCCTCAACAACATTCCTAAAACATCTACAGAACAGCCAGAATGTTCCACCTTTGTTAAAACATCGCAGTACAGGGAACGTCTTACAAAGAACATTCTGTCCCTGAATGTCTCGATAACGTCTTAAAACATTCTCCAAACATTGGACTGAGAACATCCTATGATTGTGGAACTGTTTTATAGAAGAACGTTCTACACTGTGGCACCTCAACAACCTTCCCATAACGTCCTAAGAACATTGCAGGAAGAATGTTTCACCTTTGTGGAACCAAGTTTTCTGGATGGTATCGAGGCAGAACGTTCCTGTGATGAGATATACTTAGGGTAGAACACTTGCACAATATAGAACATTCTTCTCTAAAACATTTTCACAATGTTCCCTGGTAACTAAGAAAGAAAATTCTCAAACCAACATTTGGAAAAAGTTCTCAAGATGTGACTGACAACTAAGATGATGAAAAATTCTGTAAGGGACGTTGTTGAGGAAACTCACTACTCAACATGCTTCTATACGTTGTTCCACAACGATACAAAGGAAGGACGTTCTCAATGCAACATTCAGGAAACGTTTTCGAGATGTTCTCGAGGCCTGAGACGACAACATGTTTGTCATGAGACATATTACCAAAAGTAGAACATTTTTATTGCAATATTGTGACGATGTTTTGGGGATGCTGCTGTTGAAAAAGTTCTTCTATAAAACATTCCCACAATGTTGCACGACAACAAAGGACGGGAGCTCTAAATGCAACAATTGGAAAACATTTAAAGAACGCTGCCTTTAAAAGGTACATTCTGTGAACTAAAATGACACAAAGGAAAAATGTTCTCAATGCAACATTCGGAAAATGTTTTCAAGATGTTATCAAGGCCTCAGATGACAGAACGTTCTTGATAAAAACATTCTGTTACCGCAATATATTAACAAAGGTAGAACATTTAGCCTGTAATATTCTGAGGATGTTTTGGGGATGTTGTTCCACAGTGATGACAAAAGACAAACGTTTTCAATGAAACACTCGAAAAACGTGATGGAGACCTCACATGACGACGTTTTTTTTTTTTTTTTAAAGAGAACGTTTTGTCCCTTAACATCCTTATGATGGGATGTGTTAAGACAAAACATTTTACCTTTTTACTAAATTATAGAACGTTCTACTATAAAACATTTCCACAGAGGAAGGATGTTCTCAATGCAACACTCAGAAAAAGTTTTAAGAGGAACAGTCTGCGAACTAAAATAGGACAAAAAAAGGATGTCGTCAATGCAACATCTGGAAAACGTTCTCCATTCCTCTGAACGTTTTTTACAAATATAACATTCAGAAAATGTTTTCAGAACGCTGCCTTTAAGAGGAACGTTCAGGAAAGTAAAATAAAAAACATTACTTGAACTTTGCGGAAGTTTCTCAGAACGTTTTCAGAACCACAGACTCCTCGCTGTGGGGTTTTCCAATCAAACACAACCGATGTCGTCTTTTAAATGACGCCTCAT